ATACAGGGACACACATACACACAGTGCTAATACAGGGACACACATACACACAGTGTTAATACAGGGCCACACTTAAACATTGTGCTAATACAGGGACACACATACACACCGTGCTAATACAGGGACACACATACACACAATGCTAATACAGGGACACACATACACACCGTGTTAATACAGGGACACACATAAACACAGTGTTAATACAGGGACAAACATATATACAGTGCTAATACAAGGACACACATACACACACTGCTAATACAGGGACACACATACACACAATGCTTATACAGGGACACACATACACACAGTGTTAATACAGGGACATACATACACACAATAATAATACAGGGACACCCATACACACAGTGTTAATACAGGGACATACATACACACAGTGCTAATACAGGGACACACATACACACCGTGTTAATACAGGGACATACATACACACAATAATAACACAGGGACACACATACACACAGTGCTAATACAGGGACTCACATACACACAATGCTAATACAGGGACACACATACACACCGTGTTAATACGGGGACATACATACACACAATAATAACACAGGGACACACTTACACACAGTGCTAATACAGGGACTCACATACACACAGTGCTAATACAGGGACACACATACACACCGTGCTACACACATACACACAATGCTTATACAGGGACACACATACAAACAGTGTTAATACAGGGACATACATACACACAGTGCTAATACAGGGACACACATACACACAGTGTTAATACATGGATACACTTACACATAGTGTTAATACAGGGACACACATACACACCGTGCTAATACAGGGACACACATACACACAGTGTTTATACAGGGACACACATACACACAGTGCTAATACAGGAACTCACATACACACAATGCTAATACAGGGACACACATACACACCGTGCTACACACATACACACAATGCTTATACAGGGACACACATACACACAGTGTTAATACAGGGCCACACTTAAACATTGTGCTAATACAGGGACACACATACACCCCGTGCTAATACAGGGACACACATACACACACTGCTAATACAGGGACACACATACACACCGTGTTAATACAGGGACACACATAAACACAGTGCTAATACAGGGACACACATACACACAATGCTAATACAGGGACACACATACAGTGTTAATACAGGGACACACTTTCACACAGTGTTAATACAGGAACACACGTGCACCCAGTGTTAATAGAGAGACACAAAATAATACAATGTTAGTATAGGGACTTACACTAATATAACGTTAATACAGGGACACACAATTTAATAAAGTGTGAATATTTTATAAAACAATAAATACAGTGTTAAAACAGGGACAAACGATAAATAAAGTGTGAATACTGGATAAAACAATAAATACAGCGTTAAAACAGGGACAAACGATAAATAAAGGGTGAATACTGGATAAAACAATAAATACAGCGTTAAACCAGGGACAAACGATAAATAAAGTGTGAATACCTGATAAAACAATAAATACAGCGTTAAAACAGTGATAAACGATAAATAAAGTGTGAATACTTGACAAAACAATAAATACAGCGTTAAAACAGGGATAAACGATAAATAAAGTGTAAATACTTGATAAAACAATAAATACACGGTTAAAACAGGGACAAACGATAAATAAAGTGTGAATACTTGATAAAACAATAAATACACGGTTAAAACAGGGACAAACGATAAATAAAACGTGAATACTTGATATAACAATAAATACAGTGTTAAAACAGGGACAAACGATAAATAAAATGTGAATACTTGATAAAACAATAAATACAGCGTTAAAACAGTGATAAACGATAAATAAAGTGTGAATACTTGATAAAACAATAAATACACGGTTAAAACAGGGCCAAACGATAAATAAAACGTGAATACTTGATATAACAATAAATACAGTGTTAAAACAGGGACAAACGATCAATAAAATGTGAATCCTTGATAAAACAATAAATACAGCGTTAAAACAGGGACAAACGATAAATAAAGTGTGAATACTTGATAAAACAATAAATACAGTTTTAAAACAGTGATAAACGATAAATAAAGTGTGAATACTTGATATAACAATAAATACAGTATTAACAAATGGACATATAGCTAAAATCCAAATACGGAGGCACACAATAGATGTAGTGCTACATAATGCAGGGACATAGGCCCCTTCAGTTCTTCAAACGAAGTCGTTTAAAGTATTTGACCTATTTGACCTCTGTGAACGTGACAGTAGACCAGGTCATTTTTGTTCGCATGCTTTGTACGACTAGATCACAGAACGCTACCAGCCAAAATCAGGACGTCAGGAATTTTTCATCTTTAGATTAAATTTCTATAAGGAAAAGTTTACTGGTGGACGGACGACGAAGGACGGATTCTGGACCAAGGCATCAGCAAACTTTGCCCTGCGGGCCAGGTAGGGTAATAAAAAGTGTTTAGGATTGTTATATTTTGTGTCATATCAGATGTATGTTCTATAAGCTATACATGTAACTACGTATCTTTTACTGTAAAACATACGACATACAAGTGGCCAAGTTGGCCTAGATCGCTAACCATGTTAATATGACTACTGTTGAAGAAGTGTGAATAATAACAGCTCATTATATATATAGACATGCAATGATCAATAATTTGTAAAACTTGGGAACTTTTAGTGAACAACAATAAACACAAATGTCTGGGTCCCACAGGATATCTGTATAAGGGTTGTTATGAGTACCCAATTATGTGTCAGTTTCAAAAGGAAACCAATTGGAAAATGTGGACCAAGGTACCCATCAAACTGCCCATTTCAACAATGTGAAATGTAGAATAAAATATTCAATATCCAAGGCATATGTTCACTCATCAGTGATGGCATTCTATCTGACATTTTGACCATCAGATGGTATATATAGTGGCCATATTTGGCCTGGAAATATAAAATTCACGTGATCTGTAGGGCATTTTATACGAAAACATATGAAAGCCCTTCTTGGTTATCTAAAATTGTTGAAAGTTTCAACACATTTGATCCTGTGACCTTGAAGATTGGTCAAAATAATTTACTTGAATCATCTTGCTACCTCTTAATACCAGCATGTTACTGCCAGAGTATCATCGACCTTGGCCTCTTGTTTATTCAGAAGAAGTTGTTGAAGACTTTGACATATTTGACCCCTGTAACTTTGAAAGAAGGTCAGCATTATTTTGTTCGCAAATTTGGTTGGGCTCCATCTAAGGAAGATTCTCGTGACAAACATGTGTATCAAGTCTGATCCAAATCCAATTGGTATGACTGGAGATGAAATTGAAAATGAGCTACAAGCCTAAAACTTCTGGGCCATGTGACCAACATTTTACAACGTCTTATCCAAATCGGAATGGTAGAACTGGTGAAGAAGTCAAAAATGTGTCAGCCAATCAATAGTCATGGAGGCAATATTGGTTTCTAAAACGAGAAGACAATGAGATATATATCTTTACCAAATTTGATCCAAATCTGACCAGTAGAACTAGAGAAGAAGTCATCAAAAGTAGCAGTTGACGGACGAACCGACGGACGGACGAATGCTGTGCCACGGCAATAGCTCACTTGGTCACACATCCGCCTGTGTATATATTAGATAGATTTGTTCGGATTGTTATTGTTTTGGGACGCGGTCGATATGTTTTTTCGTATGTACAATATTTTCATTGCAACAAAACATGATGTCCCTAGACAATTTAAGTAGATGACTATTACCAAAATATGCACCCTACCCAAACCCAACCCACCACAACCGTACCTCAAACTCCACCCACCTCTATAATAACTAGGGCATCAATTGTACTCCCTAATCAAGAAGTATATATGTTTTGTCTCTTAAATTCCAATAAAACGTGCATTGCCTTATTTGGTTTTCATGAAGTTCTAAAAGTCACAAAAGTATTTTTGTACTTACTGTTGCATTGTGTTTGCCAAACTGCGTCACAAAATCCCCAAGATGCTGCTAATATGAAATAAATGAATAAATTGTTCATAGGAATCCAGATGAGGAAGCCAATCATAATGGCCATATGTATGACTCCACCGAAACCAAATACAACCTCCCGTGGTACCATTTTAGCGACCAGCGCTACTAGTATGGAGCTCACCACATTGGCCACGCCCATCACGATCATCGAGTATCCTATGTACTCCTTCCCCAGAGCACAGGTGACGTATGACTGCAAAAACATGGAAATGACAAGGTGGAATACTGGTGATATAACTAAGAAAATTCGAGATGACATTGTAAATAGAAACTGTTTTTCTGATAGCAAATAGTCAAATACATACAAAAGTAGAAATTGTCATAGACAATTTGACGGGCTTTTCATAATTGCTAGCTGCATTTTGAAAATTTAGGTTAAACAGTATCTACTTATTGTAGTCAACATTTGACTGGCTCAAAATGTAATCGAAGTCGAAAATGTCCCAGGCAATCAGAGACCAGGGCAGCCATCTTGGGTTTTTCGGATCGGCATGGAATCTAACAACACTTGTCAAAGACATCGAAAGGAGTAAATTGGTGCAGCCGTACTTGAAAAGAAGTCGAAAATGTTCCAGCCAATCAGATGCTACAAGTTTTTAAACATTTGACCTTTGTGACCTTGATGGTCAATCAAGGACAATCATTTCCTTTAAACCTGAAAACCTAATATCTCAGCATCTTACATATCATATATAAAGACTTTAGACCTTGTAAAACTTAGGAAAAAGTCTTTTCAAATTTGCGACCAAATATAGTGCTTTTCAACTTTGACTCCTACCGAAAACCGTAAGTTGGCATTTTTTGCTTAAGTAATGTGAGAGAAAACGTTTGCCGTTGCATATCTCTATATCATATTAAAAAATCAATTAAGAACACTTCGTAAGAGCCCCAAGAGGAATACATGTACCAATTGTGGTTGATATTTCAATGACATAAATGGAAGAAGAAGATCGTTGAAGTTCGTAAAAATATTGTCGGCTTTTCAAAAAGATCATAGGCAAAAATGAACACGTCATATGACGTTAACGGGAAATGTTTTTAGAAACTGCCCTGGACTCGCTTATAAATGAATCGACCGAAAAAGAACCAGCTATGCCTCTGTCCGTCCAGTACATACAACAAATACTAATAATTGTGTACTGTCACGTTAATACACAACTATGTTTTGGTATCATTTTTATATGCAACACTCACCTTTGTAAAATCGGCAAATATAAAACCTTGTTGAAGCCCACTGAATATTAATAAGGGGATAAGTAGCCGAAAAGTCTTGTGAGAGACAAGGAGAGTCAGATGCTGGCAAACAATCTGAAAGAAAGAAATAATAAGCAATTTAACCTTGATGCATTGTCTCTTATCAATTGGGTTCGATACAATAGGACAGGATTCCCGGTGGACGAGTAGTTAAGGCGTCATTGAGGTCGGTTATTATTTTCCGAGCACTCCTGCTTTCCTCTACCACCAAATCCTGGCACATAGTTAAATGACCATAACTGTTAATAGGACGTAAAACACAAATACACCAAACATACAGCACGTTGCGTAATTGCAGATGAGTTCTAAACGGGGGAAATAGACAAACTGTTTACTTTGTATAGCTTTCAGTAGTTACTTTAGACAAACTGTTTACTTTGAATAGTTTCCAAAATTACTATAGACTAACTGTTTACTCTGTATAGCTTTCAGTAGTTACTATAGACAAACTGTTTACTTTGTATAGCTTTCAGTAGTTACTATAGACAAACTGTTTACTT